GTGAGAGAATGTGTTCTACCAATGCTGTGAAAATGAGGATGAAATAATGAAGCCTTCAACCTTCGTATGTTAAATATGGAAGAACCATGGGCTCAGTGAAAAAAGGATAATACTCAGGAGCACCCAAAGTGGGACATATATACAGTAAGGAAAATAATTATCTGATCCCGTGCAGATTTTGTATGTTTGCCCACTTACAAAGAAATGAAAGGCTTATCATTTTTATCATCGGTGTATTTTAAATGATAGAGACAGAAATATCAACCAAAAATCCAGAAAAAACACACATGGTACAAATGTTATAAATGGAGTTGCAGTTCAGTGAGTATAATAAATATTTGATCTCCAAGCAAAACATGACCTAGTACTCGGTGGAGAATCCCTTGTTGGCGAGCACAGAGGTAAGATGTTTCCTGTAGTTGGTTACCAGGTTTGCACACATCTCAGGAGGGATTTTGGGCCCTTTACAGATCTTCTCTAATTTCTTAGGTTTCTTGTAGTTTCAGCTCCCTCAATACATTTTCTATAGGATGAAGGTCTGGAGACTGGCTAGGCCACTCCATGACCTTAAAGGAGAACTATGGGGTTAAGGCCTTTCCCCATAGTTCTTCTTAGGGTAACGGGAGGACACAAACTAGTGTCCTCCCGTCACCCTAAGCTCAGTATACTGAGATGCCGCAGTATACCGCAAGCTACAGCTCGCGGTATACTGAGAAGCCGCAGCTGAAGCGGATCCCGACAATTATGTCTGGATCCGCCCAGCTGCGTGAGTGACAGCTGGCTCTGCCTATCTAGAGGCAGAGCCAGCTGTACCCTCGCCCGTCCATTCCGCCAGTGAGCACTGGAGGATCGGAGCGGGGAGCAGGGAATCCAGCCCCCCCCCTGTCACGGCAGAGAGCCAGGATCTAGAGGTGAGCGAACGCCGGTATGTGTTCGCTCACTTCCCGATCTACTAAGCCGACCTGTGACAGTCTCATTGTCACAGGTCGGCTAGAACTATGAGGTGAGTGAAAAGCGCCCCCCCTCATAGTTCTCCTTTTAATGTGCTTCTTCTTGAGCCACTGCTTTGTTGCCTTGGTGGTATGTTTTGGGTCATTGTCACGCCGAAAGACCCATCCACAACCCATCTGCAGTGTTCGGGCTGTGGGAAGGAGGTTCAGAGAAACAGCTCCAAAGCATAATGTTTCCACCTGCGTGCTGGATTTGTAGGGATGGTGTTCTTAAGGTCATAGTCAGCATTGTTCTTCCTCCAAACACGGCGAGTCGAGTTAATGGCAAATAGCTGAATTTTGGTGTCATGTGACCGCGGCACTTTCTCCCAATCCTTCTCTGAATCATTTAGATGTTCATTGGCCGGGCCAGTACATGTGCCTTCCTGAGGTGGGGGACCTTGCAGGCGCTGCAGGATCTCAATCCATGGTGGTGTATTGTGTCACCAATGTTTTGTTTGGTGACTGTGGTCCCAACTGCCCTGAGATCATTCACAAGCTCCTCCCATGTAGTTCTGGGCTGATCGCTCACTTTTCTCATGATCATCCTCACCCCATAAGGCGAAATCTTGCATGGAGCTCCAGACCGAGGGCCATTTAATTTTTATTTTGTATTCCATCCAGTTGAGAATAAACGTTCCAACAGTTGTTTCCTTCTCACCGAGCTTCTTGCTGATAGTCTTGTAGCCCATTCCATCCTTGTACAGGTCTACAATCTTGTCCCTAACATCCTTGGGCAGCTTTTTGGTCTTGCCCATGTGGGGGAGGTGTGAATGAAAGAAAGAGATTCTGTGGACAGGTGTCTTATAGACATAACGAGTTGTCATTAGGAGCACCTTCTTAAAGTGACAGGACTCATCTGTGTACCACATCACCAGTCTGTGGGAGGAGCCAGAATACTTATTTTACTCACTGAACTGCAACTTAATTTATAACATTTGTATCATGTGATTTTTTCTGGATTTTTGATTGATATTCTGTCTCTATCATTTAAAATACACCTATGATAAAAATTATAGACCTTTCATTTCTTTGTAAGTGGGCAAACTTACAAAATCTGCAGGGTATCAAATCATTATTTTCCTCACTGTATATCAATGAATAAATGTAAGAATAAAAACAATAGACATTGGGTAAGCAAGCTCAACACTCCAGCTGTTTTGGAACTACAGGTCTCATGAGGTATTGCAAGATTCTGACAGCCACAGCCATGACTCCAAGTGGCAGAGCTATGATGGGATTTGTAGGTTTACCACTGTTGGAGTGCTGAGGTTGCCTACCCCAGTATTATGCTCTAATGATATAAAACACCTGCAGTGATCTTGATAGTCTTTGACCAAGTGATCCTTGCCTAGGCTGTGTATGACATGATGGAGCTCAGAACAGCGCCTTGTTTTTTTTACTGATGGTAAAACTGACAGGTCTATTCACAAAAGGGTGAAGAGTTTGAAGAAGGCCGGAGAAGTGAACAATCTAGGACAACATAGCTGATTTGGAAAAATTATCCAATTCAGGTCACTTTCCAGTTCAGCTATGTTGTCCTAGATTGTTCACTTCTCCGGCCTTCTTCAAACTCTTCACCCTTTTGTGAAT